AGCCCCGTCTCGAGTCTCGGTATGGCTGGCTACCCACGCCAAATCAAGCAAAAATGGCCCTCCGTGATTTTCTTGAAATTATTCCCATAACTTTTGTGTTTAGATCCTAGATTGGGGGTGGAAAAGGTGAAAGTAAGCGCAGTTTAAAATATTCACCTGGGGATATTTAAACCCGATCATCGCCTGATAAGTATTTTTGTCTTAGTGTTCTCTACTGGTTCTTTGATCTTGTTTCAATTTTCTATTCTTTTACGTTTCATTTAATTGGTATGTCATGTCAAAGTTATTTACCAACAAAAGCTTGTGGGGACGGAGGTTTCTTATGCCACTAACGTTTATTATTCTACTCTGAAATTCTTATCGCTATCGTTTGCTATCGTTTGCTATTCGTATTTTTTGTAGATTCAAAGAACTTCACCTGTACATTATGTGGAAAAGCCTTTGCCGAAAAGAAAAACCTCCAGATGCATGTGGATGCACTTCACAAAGGTCCGTGCTTCTCTGTTTTTTTATCAGCCTTTCTCTGTTTTCCCCAAATTCTACTTTTCGATCAGTTTGTTAGCTATTCTGCGGACCGCGCCTCTCGAGACCCTCCTTTACTTCCCCTCATTTTAGGCCTGAAACCCTATCACTGTAATACGTGCGGAAAGGACTTCGCGCGGAAGTGCGATCTTGTTCGTCATGGAAACTCCGTTCATAGAGGTTTGTCCGTTTTGCCCGCGTTCTGTTTGCTTGACACAACGACAGCCCCGAGGTTCCGCTGCTCTGGGCGGCACACTGGCCTCTATTAGCTTTCTATTTCTCTCATCCTCATCCACCCCGTTTTTCTGCCGTCTAAAGTATTCTTTCAGTGATTTTGCCGGCTGCGCAAAGCTGTCTGTCATTTTCTAGCTAACACAGCTTAACGCAAACTCAGTTAGCTGAAAACGGTTAGGGTTTTTTATGCTTATTCGAAGACAGCCTTCACCACCTTTTTCTCTCAGTCACACACATACACACAATTTGACCTCAGTTAGGGATTCATGACTAATTGGATATCGATCAAACGCAAACTACGGTAAGT